TACTTTGTGACTTGTATAGATGATTGTTCAAGATTTGTGCAAGTTTATCTAACGAAAAAAAAAGATGAAGTATTTAATGTTTAAAGTTTACAAGTCCCTAGTTGAGAATCAATTAAGCAAGAAAATAAAAATTTTGAGAAGTGATAGAGGAGGTGAATACTTCTCGAATGAATTCTCAAAATTTTGTGAAGATAATGGTATTGTTCATCAAACTAGTGCACCTTATACACCACAACAAACTGGAAGACAAAATAGAACTCTATGTGACATGGTAAATGCTATGTTAGTGAGTTCTGGATTGCCAAATAATTTGCGGGGTGATGCTTTATTGGCTGCATGTCATTTGCACAATAGAATTCCATCTCTTAAGACTAAAGTGTCACCATATGAAATATGGAAGGGAAGAAAACCAAATCTGAATTATATGAAGGTTGGGGTTTGTGTGGCCTATTATCATGTTCCGGATAACAAAAGAACAAAGATGGTACCTAGAGCACTCAAAAGTGTGTTTGTGAGCTACGCTGAAAATTCTAAAGCCTATAGGCTACTAGCTGTTGATTCTAATGTAATTGTAGAATCAAGAGAAGTGCAATATTTTGATAATCTGTTTCTCAAAGGTTCAAAAGTAAGTAGTGATCCTTTTTATGTGCCTAACACTACTCAAACTGTGGCAATTCCAAGTAGTTCTTTTAGTGAGCTCAAAAGGAAAGAAAATGATTCTCCTATGGAACCAAGAAGAAGTGGAAGGCAAAGGAAAGAAAAACAATTGCCTTCAGACTTTATATCTTCTCAGGCTATTGTTTTCTTAGTTGAAGGCAATAGGGATTCTGTACTTAGCAAAACTCCAATTTTGCTTAGTGTGGAAGAAGATCCAAAAACCTTTAGAGAAGCTATGAGTTCAAGAGATGCCACATTTTGGAAAGATGCAGTCAATGATGAAATGAATTCAATATTATCTAATAATACTTGGGTTCTGGTTAACTTGCTTCAAGGCTCTAACCCAATTGGGTGTAAATGGATATTTCGAAGGAAATATGCCACAAATGGAACTATACTTACTTATAAGGCAAGACTAGTAGCAAGGATTTAGGCAAAAAGAAGGAATTGACTACTTTGATACTTATGCACCAGTGGCAAGGATTACTTCGATTAGAGTAATCCTAGCCTTGGCTTCCATTTACGATTTACCAGTTCATCAAATGGATGTTAAGACAGCATTCTTAAATGGTGATTTGGATGAAGAGTTGTACATGGAGCAACCGGAAGGCTTTGTGCTACCAGGTCATGGAAACAAGGTGTGTAAGTTGGTTAAGTCATTATATGGATTTAAACAAACCCCGAAAAAATGGCATGAGAAATTTGAATCTGTTTCACTTTCACATGGTTTTAGGTATAATCATGTTGATAAATGCATTTATACTAAAGTATGTGATGAGTATACAGTGATCATTTGTCTATACGTTGATGATATGCTCATTGTTGGTACCACATTGAAAGGTGTTGTTGAGACTAAGAAATATCTTTCTTCTAAGTTCCAAATGAAGGATTTTGGTGAAGTAGATACTATCTTAAGAATTAAGGTTAAGAAGCATAGTGAAGGTTTTGTACTCTCTCAATCACATTATGTGGACAAGATACTAACAAAGTATCAACACGTGAATGTGAAGGAAGCATCTTCTCCTTATGATCGTAGCATGAAACTTTGTGTAAATAAGGGTAAACCAATTGTGCAACTAGAGTATGCTAGTGTGATTGGAAGCGTTATGTATGCTATGAGTTGTACAAGGCCAGATATCTCTTATGCAGTATGTCACCTTGCAAGGTTTACTCATTGCCCTGGAACATTGGAAAGCTATCATTAGAGTCTCGGGATATCTTAAAAGAACCAAAGATTTGAGACTCTATTATAGCCAATTTCCTAGTGTTCTTGAGGGTTATTCTAATGCCAGATGGATATATGGAAGTAATGAGAAGAACTCCACTAGTGGTTGGTTGTTTTTACTTAGTTGTGGTCCTGTTTCTTGGACATCAAAGAAGCAAGCGCTTATAACTCATTCCACAATGGAATCCGAGTTTGTAGCTCTATCCTCAGCTTGTAAGGAGGCAGAATGGTTGAGAGATCTTTTCTTAGATCTAGAAATTTGGCCAAAACCTATGTCGCCGATTAACCTTACATTGTGATAGTGAACCAACAATGTCTAGAGCATTGAACAAAGTGTACAATGGTAAATCTAGACATATCAGTATAAGACATGAATATGTCAGAGAAATGCTGAACAATGATGTTGTCTCAATTGTGTTTGTTAGAACACACAAAAACTTGGCGGATCCGTTGACTAAACCTCTTGCGAGAGAGTTAGTGGTTTCGACAACATCCGGAATGGGTTTAAAACCTTGTATATAAAATTACTAACAATGGAAACCCAACCTTCTTCTAGTACTACCCCTAGATTGAAAGGTTTCCAGGGTAATAACAAGCTGTTTAGTAATTGGGGCACCAAATCAGTGTATATGCCATTCCAAAGTATTGGTGTATTATGTTACTCTTAAGTGAGCAGGTTGAGAGCAATCTCTTAATAAAATTATTCATGATTATTCACTTACGGTAAAGTAATGAATTTGAATAAATTTCACCTATTTGACCATAGAAGTGGTGCCGCTTCTAGCAAGAGTTTGAGGTTATCTCTTGTACATGGTCAAGAATCTAGGATGAGCACATGGCCGGTAATAGTGCTAAATGGTAATTTGGATTACAAGGAATGCTATCAGTGTTTGCGCGTGAACTATTAAGTCTATATTAGACTGATTATTGGTTTAAGCAACGAGCCACCAATAACTTAGCTAGTTAGGTGACTTAATTGCACTACGTTGTGGTTTAAGACGAAAGTCACCACCTCTTAAGCGTGATTCTCATGATTGTGTAATTATTTTATATTACAAACTAAGTGGGGGAATGTTGAAAATTTTAGTTTGTAAGATAAAATAATTAATTTAAAATTGAAGGATAAAATTAAGTTGGCAACCCTTCACATGCTTGGTGGTTATTTCCTATAAGCCAAGGGTTGTGTACTTATTTTGTATCCTTTTATTTCTGCAAATGTTGCCTATAAATAGGTGAACTATTGCAGGAATTTATTTTAACTTTTGCATTCTAAAATCCTGAAGAACATTCAATAAGTTGCAAATTGTATGTTCTTGTGTTCTTAAGTCCTAGAGGCACATTGCCATTCAACCCTGTTTGCAATCTAGTGGGGGCAAATATTGTCTTAAGGGCAGTGTTTGACACGCTTAGAACACTTTCAATTCTTTGTGAATTTCCTTTAGTGTTGAATTTCAGATTCCATCAATAAAGTTTTTTTTTCTCTATGTTTATTCTTTGGTTCATATTGTGTTGTTTCTTTTGTTTCCATTTTCCGATTTCTTTCAATTTACAATTTTTTTAAAAAAAATCAAAATGCACTGTCCTCGAATCCCTACTCAACGGCTACATTATATCTCAACCAGCCATTTTGACCCGCCTAAATTCTTCCTTCATAAAAAAATAGCCTCAATGTGGTGGATATTGGTGAAACATGAGAATTACAGCAACGCATGACAACATGACTAGACAACAACTCGTGATTTTGCTCAGATTTCTTTAAGCCACACCGACGGACTCCCACCATAAAAATATTACAAGTCGTCGCCGTGCTCCCACATGCCTGGCCGGGGAATAGCATTTCATTTTTTTTAAAAAAAATTAATTTTCTTTTCTTACCCAACTTTTAATTGTACTAATCTGGTGAATCAGGATCTCTCTTTACTTCCTTAATCCCAAAATTATTGTCCAATTTATATTTTTCTTTTTAATACAAATTGTAGTAAAATTTAAAATGCAAATTAGACAATAATTTTGAAACATAAAAAATAGTTGTCAGTTCCGATTAATTGGTCTGAACTTATCTAGTGAATATGACAAATTTGATTATAATATATCACTTGAAAATGTTCTTCTTTTTTTATTTTATTTTATTTTATTTTTTTTTGCGTGCGCGGAGACATCACAGATTCAAGACTCATTAGTTAGGATCTTGAACATGTTGTTGGCCTCGATAGAGGTAACGTCAAATGAGGCTTTTTGAATTAAGTATCTGACAATCATATAGTTGGGATATGCTCCAAAGGTTTGCGCCAGCAAGAAAACCTAATTTAAAATTTGATGCAAAATGCATTGTTTCGTAGTGTAATTAATTAATATTGTATTCGCAGCTGTATTAGACAAACTTCATTAAGCTACGATATATTTTTCACGTATTGTTCCATCTGTGATTATCGGTTGATCCAGCGCGCGTTAAACGAGACTTACGAGGTGGACTATTTTTAATACTCTTTCTAAGAAAAGTAGTTTATATTTTAATAAAATAATGTACTTCAACTTGTGAGGTGGATTTTTAATTTATGGAAGGGAAAAAATATTTTTGGAATCGGGTTGGACTAATAATGCAATTCGTATTAGCATGAAGAAATAACCCTTCTTCTTTTGAACACATTAGGTCATAAGGCGGTAAATTCTTTTCATTCTATCAAAGAAAGAGTTTGCGACATAATTATAGTTGTTTCATTAATCTTGTTTTCATGAACGAAAGATGGAAAACATTGAGCACAAAAATGTGAAAGTGAACGGGCTCAGCATGCATATTGCAGAGCTTGGTACTGGACCATTGGTACTTTTCCTTCATGGTTTCCCCGACCTTTGGTATTGCTGGCGCCACCAGATGATCTTCATGGCCGACCATGGCTACCGGGCCGTGGCTCCTGACCTCCGTGGCTATGGCGAAACCACCGGGGCCCCAGTTGAGGACAGCTCCAAGTTCACCACTCTTCATGCAGTTGGAGATATAATAGGACTTCTTCAGGCTATTGCACCAGATGAGGAGAAAGTGTTTGTAGTGGGTCATGATTGGGGAGCTATGATTGCCTGGCACTTGTGCTTGTTTAGGCCTGATAAAGTTAAGGCCTTGGTTAACCTGAGTGTTCCTTTTATGCCCAGATATCCCTCAACTAATAAACTTGATGCACTCAGGATCCTTGGTCAGTGCTTGTTTAGGCTTGATAAATTCAAGGCTTTGGTCAAATTCAGTGTTGCATTAATCCTACCAAGGAATCCGTGGATTCTTGTAGGTCATGCTCTGAGGATTGCCTGGAACATGCTCTTGTTTAGGCCTGATAATGTAAAACACTTGGTCAACTCTTGTGTTCCTTTCGTGCAAAGAAATCCCTCCATTAATCTAGTTGATGCACTGAGGATTGCTTATGGGGATGATTACTACATCTGCAAATTCCAGGTTTTGATCATCTGTTTTGCCTCAGTAATTTCTGCTTCCGAAATAATTGTTCAGTTTGGATTTGAACTTAATGGACAATTTTATATTAATAATTGTCCAATTGCAGCATTATCTTTGACAGTTCCAGTGCACCAGTATACATTAGAAAAAAGCACCTAAAATCATACACCGAAAAAAACGATCCAAAACTACCCTACTAAATGTTTGCTTTGTGCGGTTTATTCTCTCGCGCTGCAGATACCAGGTGAAATTGAGGCTGAACTAGATCGGATGGGTGTTGAAAACTTCATGAAGAGGATGCTCACATATCGCACTCCGGGTCCACTGTTTTTCCCCAATGATAAAGGGTTTGTTGGTGGCGGATCGCCCGATCCCGATACTCGGGTGGACTTGCCGTCTTGGTTAAATGAGGAAGATGTTGCTTATTACGTCAGTAAATTTGAGAAGACAGGCTTCACTGGAGGAATCAATTATTACCGCGCTCTCAATCTGTAAGTTACTTTTTTGCTCCACCAATCGTACACCAACAAAAATAACAATAAAAATAAAATAACAATAATTTGCTATTTATTTCCATCACTTGTATAAACTATAAGAGTACAAAATATTATTGCTCTGATATTGATGATTATGCAGTACATGGCAACTTACAGCAGCTTGGAATGGGGCTGAAGCAAAAATACCAGCCAAATTTGTTATTGGGGATTTGGATTTGGTGTACCATATGCCAGGAATTCAAGACTATATACACAAGGGCGGATTTAAAAGTGATGTACCCTTGTTGAAGGAAGTTGTCGTAATAAAAGATGCAGCACATTTTATTAACCAAGAAATACCTGATGAGATTAACAAACACATCTACGACTTCATTCGGCAGTTCTGAGCTTCTCTCCTTCTACAGTAGAATCATCAGTATGCATTGATCTCCAGTTCAGCATGAGGAATATGTTTCCTTACATTTCCCCGCTTTTCCGAGTTTTTATTTTTATTTTGCCAAGTATGAATCATATATTGTTGGAGTACTTGTCGGAGATTGAATTTATTGTTGCCTTGTTGGAGTATTTGTTTTGACACGCTATAAGTTTTGACGCTGCAAAAGTAGTGACGATATGGTTGTAATCAACGGATTCGAAACCTATCACAACAGCAGAGCGTAGAGTTCCTATCATCAACGAATGAGTTTTGACAACAAAATTAGTGATAAAAGGTTTTAATCAACTGATGATAACTTTCTATGTTTTATTTCAGTGTAATTATACTAGAAAATGTGTTTAGTGTGTTCTTGATTATTTAAAAATAAGTTAGCTAGAAGTGTTTGAATAGAAAGAAACCAACAAAATCGTTTGCGATGAGAATTAATTGATACATTGAACCGAGAATCACAGTGCCACAAATTTACACAAAAATTTGACCTAGATACGAAAATCATTTAACGTTAATAATGGACACCGGATTACAACAAAAGTATTGCACAAAGTTAACGACACTTTGGCAAAACGTTGCATATACTGTTCGAAATCACAACATTGCGCTATATTTGATAAACTCAGTTTCAAAAGTGTGGCAAAAAAAGAATTATCAAAACTCACAAAGAAAATAACGCTTCTCACTGGACACAAAATTTGAATATTATATGTATAAGTTTAACAATCTCATATCTTAACTATTTGTTATTCGTAAATTGAACCCAACGAATGAATTTATTCAAGAAATTTATCAAAATGATGAAAAATTGAAGGCTCTTAAATGTAGAAGAGCAATTGTCAGTACTTTTTTCATGAATTGTTATAGGTGTAACCTCCTATATTACTCTACACAAAAAAGTTTGTTTTTATAAGAATAATGATATACACGGAAAAAACTTACAAGGAAAAGTAACAGCTAATGATCACATCTATTTGTTTTTCATACTTTTTTTTATTAATTAGGGTTATGCGTTTAAGGTTAAAGAACTTTTTAGATGATTGTCACATTATTATTTGTAATTTTTTCTAAAAATTTTTTCATGCATATATCACTATTTTTTTCATAAATACAAAGGCCTGACTCAAAATTTTTTTTTGTATTTGTATACACATGCCTATCTTTAGTGAGTACCAACAAATAACCTTGAGGTAATGGATCAAAGTTTATAAGGATAAGCATTCATCCTCCTCTAGTTCGATTTGTCCAAATCTGATATTCAATGCGTTGACTACTAAGCTCAATCTCGATGGGCTTATAGCTAATTCCTGTCATTAGTTTGTCCCACACATGGCTTTGCCCTACGAAAGCATGGAACAATTGCAAGAAAAACCCATTTTATTTTCCTACTCCTAGTTTTTAATAACCAAATGGCCAGCAATAAACAGCCATTGGACCTGCAAATCGATCCATACTTTTTGGGTGGATGACTCGTAAGATCAGTCTCATATATTATTAAAAATTAAAAAATAACCCCAGATGATCACATTAATACAAGGTCAACATGCTCGCCAACAAATATGTACACATGCATGCATGTGAAAATTTTCAACTCATACTGATAGCGTCGACTAAAAGTTCCTGGTAAGTGTGGATTTTTAATTTCGACATCTTGTGAAGAAATTAATCAAGAGAGCGTTAATTAGAATGTTTGACATCTTTTTTTTCTTAATTAAAATTGGTACGCCGACTATGTTACACCATCGGTGTCTGTCATGTTATGCATGTTGCATATGTGTTGTTCGCATAGGATACTGCAAGATGGTGGCTTTCACCGGATCCATCTCCAGCCAGCTATCTATTAATGGTGGTTTTTCCTCCGATTTTACATCTTTAATTAGTTCTTTTTAATTATAAAGAAGTTGAATTAAATTTTAGTTAGTAATAATGACTATAATAATTGTTGGAAATAAACCAAGCTTAAATAGAAAATATTATTTTAGATATAATTTGGTAATTATTTATTTAGTTTAGTTTTATTAAAATAAGAAAAGTAATAATATAAGAATAGTAAATTTTTAATTATGGTAGGTTTTGATGGTAACATGGGTTATAAAAAGGATGTTAGAGTTTATTATTTGTTAAGGCGGTTTGTAGGATTTTCATGATTGTAAGCTTTCACGATATTTGTTTTGATGAGTTAAGTAAAAGTTGTGTTTTGTGAGATTTCCGTTGCATTGATTTTGTTATTGTGAGTTTTAGATTTTTTCAGTTTTACATACGGCATCAGAGCCGGTTTAAGATCCGGCGAGAAAGAAATCAGTTTATCTGAAAATTGTGAAAGAAAGTTCGGTATATGTGGAAGAAAAAAAGTAGTGGGTAAAAGAGTTTTTTGCCAGCAGTTCGCAAAGGAAAAAAATAAAAGGGGACGAAAAGAAAGTAGGCAGTACGGGTTTGTTTTTGTAGTGCGGCGAAGGCCAAACTTGAGGTGTATTGTTCTTTGGGTTAGATTAATCAATTTACCACTACATGTTTTTTCTTAAAGCTTTGTTGGTTTATTGATCTGTGCTATCGATTATTTTGGTTGCTTCATCTGGGGGACAAAAAAAAATAAAATAAAATAAAAAATTCTTGAGCTGCTTGATTTTGTGGGTTGTTTTCGGCAGGTGAAAAGAAAAATACATAATTGCCGCACCGTTTTGGCCGTGGGAGTGAAAGGTTTTTGTGCATTATTTTAGGCACTTTGACGTTTGTATTTTGTTGATTGATTATTGGTTTGGTTTGATTATTGTTTTGTTCGCTACATAAAATAAATTACGTTAAAGGAAGAGAAAAGAAACAATTTGGCTTCAAATGTATTTGAAGGAGAAATTTTGAGTAATGAAGATTGAAGGAGTGCTGGATTGTTGGAGCATTGTGTGCAATATCCCAAAATTAATGGGAAAGCAAAATTATGATCATTGGAGGCTTCAGATGGAGATTCATCTTCGAGCATATGGTTTGTTGCAATTCATATACAAGGAAGTACCACAAGATGCGGATGATGAAACTCATAGGAAGGTTAGTTTGACATTATCTCAAATTCAATGTACAATTAATATGTTAATTTTTGGTAAAATATGTTTTGCGAAAACTGCCAAACAAGCATGGAATATATTGGACAAAACCTATCTTGGTGTAAATAGAGTTCAGAAAAATAATGTGTTGAGATTGAAGGGAGAATTTGAGTCGTGTAGAATGAGAAAATCAGAGACAATTGAAAGCTACTTTTCTCATTTGTTGGAAATCAAGAATGAGATTGAGACTAATGGTTATGTTCTTCTTAATGAAGTTTTTGTTGGCCATGTGATTGACACCCTACCATTAGAGTATAATTGTGTTGTTTCTGGAGAGCTTCTTTTTGTTGACTATGCTCTCGTGACTATGGGCGAAAACACCTTCTAGTGTGTGACGTCAATTTCGTTTCTCCGACGTAGCTACGTCCGCCATGGCAAGAGGAACGAAGAAAAAGAGTAAAGCAGCTGTCAATGAACATCACGAGCAGCCAGAAGACAAAAGGAAACTGCAGATGATTGATTGCGTGAACAATTTGGCGAAGGATCAGGTTAGCTCAGCTCAAACTAGGTCTGGACTTAACTTGAATAATTCGTTGGAAAAAGTTTGAGAATTATAGGGTAATTGAGGTGGGGGAAAGCTCACAGAGCTCGGGGATTGATAGATCGGGTAGAAAAACAGATGAACAGGAAACATTGGTGAAGGGAGTATGGCAGGGATTTGATCCCAAGCAATTGATGGTTGATAGAAAGCTTTCATTCATTAAACCGGAAGTAGTCCAAGATCGAGTGATTAGCAGAGTAATTAAGGCTGAAATTCAGATGGAAGTGGAATATTGGAAAACATCGGTGGCTTGCTTTGTGTTGGGAGCTCATCCTCCATTCCCTGTTGTCAATGGATTTATCAGAAGAAATTGGGGGAGCTCAGGAATTGATAAGGTGGTGCTGTTAGAAAATGGAATTTATGTAATCAGATTTAAAACGATGGAAGCTAAGGAAAATATTCTGAAGCATAGTATTTACCATTTTGATAACAAGCCGTTTATTGTGAAAGATTGGTCAGTGGAAAAGGATATAGCTACGGAAGACATAAAATCTATTCCAGTGTGGATACAGCTGCCAAAATTGAAGCTCAGGTACTGGAATGCAATCTCATTAAGTAGAATGATGAGTGTTGTTGGTATTCCACTGGAAATGGATGATATGACCTCAAAAAAGATAAGAACAGCTTTTGCCAGGGTATTAGTTGAGGTTGCGATTGCTGATAAGGTTCTGGATTCTATTTGGTTTGAAGATGAAAATGGCCCACTGCAGAAACAACCAATAGTTTTCGAATGGAAGCCAATCCAGTGTTTGAACTGTAAAGGATTTGGTCATATGGCTGACATCTGCAAGCATCCAACTCCACAGGAATGGAAGGCTAAAACAGATGGCAGGCCAACTATTCTTGGATTGAAAGATAACACTGGAAAAATATAGGAAAGAATAGAAATGGAGATTTCTGAGGAAGCAGAGAAGAATGTGGCTCTGAGTAAAGGCAAGATGCACAAGGAGAAAAGCCCTAGTGGGAAGAGTAGCTCAAGTGAATCTGAAATAGCAACTCAGGGAGATGAAGTACTGATACTAAATCAAAAAGGAATGAAGGTGGTAAGTGGAAGACAAAGTGAAAGAGTAAGCTCAATGTATGTGATATATTCTGTTGATACTAGTAACCCTTTTATAGGGTCTAGTAAACATGAATAACATCATGAGCTGGAACATTAGGGGACTTAACAGTCCCCTGAAACATAGAGAGGTTACTTCATACCTCTCTATGAATAAAGTTGGGTTTGCATGGATATTAGAAACAAAACTAATAGGCGAAAAAGCTAAAGAGATAGTGATGAAGAAGTGGCATCAATATGAATACTATGGTAATCATGAAGGGAAGAGCAAAGGAAGTATATTAGTATTATGGAGGAAAGAAGACTATGAAGTTCAAATACAGACTGTTAATAAGCAGTATATTCATTGCTGGGTGAAAAATCTCAACACTAAGTGCTGGTTCTATGTGACAGTGGTGTATGCAGACTATTTGGTTCAAGGGAGGATTAAGCTGTGGGAGGAATTGAAACAGGTTGCAGATCACACAACTGAAGCATGGTTAATAATGGGTGACTTTAATTGTGTAACCAATCCTGAAGAGAGATTAGGAGGAAGGAAGTAAGTAAGTGCTGATACTGACAACTTTAAAGCATGGATGGAAGATGGTGAAGTATGGGAAATGCCAGTCTATGGAGGAAAATATATATGGTGGAATAGGCAAGTTGGTGACCAAAGTATTATGGCTAAATTGGATAGAATTTTGGGGAATGGAGAGTGGTTCAACCAGTTTAGTACAGCATATACCACAGTAAGTGCAGCAGGAATCTCAAATCATAATGCTTTGATTGTTAGATGGGGAGATGATCCAGTGATTAGCAAGAAATCGTTTAGATTTTTTAACATGTGGACTCAGAGCACAGAGTTTCAATCCATTGTTAAAGAAGTCTGGCAGAAGCAAATCACAGGTACCACACAGTTTAGGGTTGTGAGTAAGCAAAAGTTGCTTAAAAAGCCACTGAGAGATTTGAATAGAAGGAAGTTTGAGAATGTGGAGGTCAAATATCAAGAATGTCATAGCAAGTTGATCATGATTCAGGACCAACTTAGCTTAGATCCTGAGAATGTTGCTATGCAAAAAGAAGAGAAGCAAGCCAGAGATGAGTATGTGGAAGCAAGTAGAAATGTGTTGAGCTTTTGGTCTCAGAAACTTAAAGATAAATGGATACAGGAGGGGGATATTAATAGCAAGTATTTTCATGCCAGTTTAAAGGAGAAGAGAAGCATCAATAAGATCATATCCTTTATTAAAAATGATGGAGCACTAGAAGAGGACTATCAGGAAGTGGAGACTCACTTTGTGAAGTTTTTTGAAGACCTGCTTGGGAAAACGGGTAATCATACACTAGCTGATGGTAGAATACTTAGTTCAGGGTTCAAACTATCAATAGACCAACAATTATTCCTGATTAAGGACTTTACTAAGGCTGATGTAAAAGAAGCAATTTTCAGTATTGATAGTAACAAGAGTGCGTCCAGATGGTTACAGTAGTGAATTTTATAAAAAAGCATGGAGCACTATTGGAGATGAACTTTGTGCAGCTGTCCTGGAATTCTTTTAGACTGGTAAGTTGTTGAAGTAAATTAATTCTACTGTGATCTCATTGATTCCTAAGAATGCTAATCCCAAGGATGCTACTGAGTACAGACCTATTTCTTGTTGTAATACACTCTATAAGTGTATTACTAAGATGATCTGCAAAAGGCTCAGCAATATCCTTCCCGATTTGATTGATATGAATCAAGGTGCGTTTATTAAACAAAGACTTATATTGCACAATATACTGCTACCCCAAGAGCTGATCAGGAAATATAACAGAAAGGATGCTAAAGCTAGTTGTATAATGAAGGTGGATTTAAGGAAAGCTTATGATTCAGTTAATTGGAAGTTTGTTGAGAAAATGTTGAAGCAGTATGGCTTTCCAAGAAAGTTCATAGGCTGGATAATGGAGTGTATGACTATATGTACTTATTCCTTGAATCTGAATGGAAATATGAAAGGATTCTTTCAAGGAAGAAGGGGCTTAAGACAGGGTGACCCTATGTCACCATTGATATTTGTTATGGTCATGGAGTATTTGACAAGGTGCTTCAAGGATAAGGTGGATCATGGTCTGATAGCTTTCCATCCGTACTGTTAAAAAACTCAAAATCACTGCTTTGTGTTTTGCTGATGATTTATTGATATTTAGTGTAGCTGATTTGAAAACAGTGAAGGTGATAAAGTTTGTTCTTAATCATTTTGCAGAAGTGACAGGGCTCAGTGTGAATAATCAGAAATCAAATGTGTACTTTGGAGGGAAATCAGTGAATGTGCAAGGAGAAATTCAGGAGATTATGGGATTTCAAGTTGGGCAGTTTCCTATGAAATATTTGGGTATGCCAATTTCACCAACAGCTTGGACACAGAGAGAATGCCAAATGATGATAGACAAACTTACTGCAAGGATTAAATGCTGGACATCCAAGCATTTATCCTATGCAGGAAGAACAGTGTTAGTTAATTCTGTGCTACTCAATTTGAATTCTTACTGGGCCAGTATTTTCCTGATTCCTCAAAGTGTTATACAGCAAATCAGTAAATGTTGCAGAGAATTTCTATGGGGTAAGAAAATAAATGGAGCATCAAGATCACTGGTGGCATGGGATTTAGTTTGCAGAAGCAAAGGAGAAGGAGGATTAAATGTTAACGAACCAGGAACATGGAATAAAGCTCTTCTGGGAAAGCAGCTTTGGGATATAGCCAAGAGGAAGGAAAGTTTATGGGTGAAGTGGATTCATATTTATTATGTTAAACAGAAAAATTGGTGGGTGTATAAACCTCCTCTGGATAGCAGTTGGCATTGGAAGAAGATCAACAAGATCAAGGAGGTATTTGCACTAGGAACCATGAATGGAAAGTGGCAGCATAATGGAGGGAAGAACTATAATGCCACCAGTGGTTACAGATGGTTGAGAGGAGATCAGCACAAATTCCAACCTGCAAGGGTTGTCTGGACTTCAGTTGGACTTCCTAAGCACAATTTCATCAGTTGGATGGCCTGCCATGACAGACTGCTTACTGTGGAACGATTGCAGAAGATGACAATCCAGGTAGATGAACCAAAATGTGTATTGTGCAAAAAAGAAGATGAGACAGGGAAGCATCTGTTTTTCAATGTGGCTATACTCAGAGAGTTTGGAAGGAATTGAAGTCTTGGTAGGGCATCAGAAGAGAGATCAAGGCTCTGAATGCAGGAAGTTTGATTAATATTTGGAAGTTTGCTCTTGCTAAACAGAAATTGCTGTATGCTTGCTTAAATGCTATAGTGTATCATGTGTGGTTAGAAAGGAACAGCAGAAGGTTTGCTGGATTGGAGGAGCAGGCAAAGCAAAAAGCTGAAAAAATCCAAAATGAGATGAAGTGCAGAATTTTGAGTTTACCAAAATATAGGAAGAATGCTTGTTTACTGAACTTTTGGAGATAAATTTTGTATAGAAAGGAATGTAGTAGAAAGAGGTAGGTTTGTAAAGCTTGAAGGTGCTTAATACAAAATTTACATATTACCAAAAAAAAATTGGGTTGTTTCTGTAATCGTGAAGATGAAAGATCTTTCATCATTGACTGTTGAAGACTTGCAGGATTTGTTGGTATGCCACAAGCAAAAAATGTATAAGAAAGATGAAGAAGAGAATCATTTGATAGAGGAAGTGTTGTGTGCTCAAATTGATATGAATTTGGAGCAAAGTTCTTCAACAGTCAAGGGGGGAGAAAGTGTTTGTTTGGTAGGACATGATTACAATGTGTGTCAAGATGAAAAAGTTGATCCAATTGCTGGAAAAGAAGAAGAAAAAGAGATGCGGGAAGAAAGAAAAGAAATTGAACAAGAACAAGGAGGAGAAAAAGAGGAAGAAAAACGTTCGTGTTTGGCATTGGGAAAACAAGAAATTCATACTAATAATAATTGTGTGGAGAATGATGAAGGTGAGAATTTTTTCATGGCAAACATTCTTGATTTGGCGAGTCTTGAAAGATTAGATGCTTTGGCAACAGAAGAGCGAAAAATTCAAATTGGTGATGATGTTTGGGAGAAAGATGAGAATGGAGAAATTCTTGATGTGTTTGATAATCAAGAAAACATTGATGATGTTGAGATATGTGAGTTGAAGGAAAAACAAGATACCTGTGAGAGTGAACATGTTGATAAAGTTAAGAATGCTTGTGAAAAGTTGTATTTTGAAGATAAATGGGTGAACATGGATGAATTCTTTGAAAAAGATAAAACGCAAATACAATGCTTTATGAAGTATCAAGAGTGCCGTGTTACGACTTTGTTGATTGAGGAATGTATCAACTTCAAGATGGTATTTCATCTGATTTACTCAGCTATGGAGATGTCATCCGAAATTGAAGATCGAGATGGCGTTGGAGATTGTTTTATGCAAGCTTGGTTTAAGGGGGCTTATGTTGGAAATAAACCAAGCTTAAATAGAAAATATTATTTTAGAGATAATTTGGTAATTATTTATTTAGTTTAGTTTTATTAAAATAAGAAAAGTAATAATATAAGAATAGTAAGTTTTTAATTATAGCAGGTTTTGATGGTAGTGTTATAAAAAGGATGTTAGAGTTTATTATTTGGTGAGGCGGGTTTTCATGATTGTAAGCCTCCACAATATTTGTTTTGATGAGTTAAGTAAAAGTTGTATTTTGTGAGATTTCCACTGCGTTGATTTTGTTATTGTGAGTTTTAGATTTTTTCAGTTTTACAATAATAAGGCATTGCACAATGAAATAATTATAAAAGTTTCTAGTTGTTTGTGAAAATGTGTTTCGTTTCTGCACATACAAAACCAAAACACACTTCGTCACTTCCCAGTGCCTGAGAGCAATTTGCATAACACACACACACACACAAAACACTTGATGGCTTTTCATAGCGCGGGAGAGGGGAACCAGGAGGAGAATGGCCGGCAAAACGGAAATCATGAAGATGTAACGGTGGTGATGGTTCCTCTGCCGGCGCAAGGACACCTCAACTTGTTCCTCCATCTTGCTCGTTACGTCTCATCCTATAACGTTCCGGTCCACTATGTTTGCAGTCCGGCTCACTCCCGTCAGGTACAATCCCGCATCCATGGTTGGGATCACAAGGATGATGATGATGATCTTCATGGGTGCTCGAGAAACAGAATCACATTCCATGAATTCGGAGTCCCTAGTTACGTAACACCTCCACGGCTCCACCAAATTCGAATAATCCCATCAAATACCCTGTCCAATTATTGCCAGCTTTTTACGCATCGCTTCATCTTCGAGAACCAATCTCGTAACTCTTGCAAAAACTGTCAAACAAAACCAGGAGGCTAGTGGTAATCCATGACGCCTTGATCACGTACGTTGTCCAGGACATATGTTCGATTCCAAATGGTGATCACTATATATTTATATATATGTCTTTTTATTAGATCGAGGCAACTTTTACTATAATTTTTCAATATTTTGGAAATGAAATGTTAGTATTTATAATGAAATTGTAATGATTGATAATGAGTTGTATGTATGATAAATGGAGATAATTTTATATTTCAAACACATTGTTGATCGTTTCATTGACATTGATGTAATAGCACATTTTCTATCATATAGCACATTTTATTAAAATCACTTTGGAACACAAATAAACCAAATAAAAAAAAAAGGAGAAGAAGAAGAAGAAGAAGAAGAAGAAGAAGAAGAAGAAGAAGAAGAAGAATAGGTTATAGACCTTAAAGTCCAAGAAGAAACATAATTTCCTACTTGAACTGAGCTTCCTCAGAATACCATCATGTGCTCAGCTTCCACATCATAATCTTCACAATCTTGTACTACCTTAAGCACCTACTAACTCAGCTGTAATGTCTACAAATATAAAAATTTTGCAAAGGACACGCCAAAGTCAAACCCCAGCCCAAAAGGTATATATACTACTCGTTTCGAGTAGGTCATTCTCAGAAGAAAATTTCTATAACCTAGATATCAACCATGGTAAACCCTTCTCAGGGCCTGCAACTGGTTAGGGGATATAGGTTTTTTTTTTTTTTTTTTTGCTTATAAGGGATTTAATCAATCACCATTACAGTATATATAATCCGTTTGTTTGGGGAAATTGACTGGTGTGAAATGGATTGATTGTCATTTGTCAAGTTTTTGTTTCTTGCCGTGGTCAACACTGAAAATATTCTCTCTCCAATCACACAAAGGATTCATTCGGCCGACACCTTTTGATCCTTTTCCTCCTTAAATTAATCTGAACTAATTACTTTGTGTACTAATAATACTTTTTTTGTTATTTCAAAAAAAATGATTGTACTCCATTCGGTCATTATTGTAAGATATTTTATGATTTTTCATGAATTGTAAAATATTTTAATTTGTTCATATATAATATCATTTAGAATGTTATTCCAATCGAGAAAAAAACCTTTAATATATATTTTTACGTTTATGTTCTCTCATTATTATAAAATATTTTTAAAGTATTATTTTCAATTGAAAGAACATATTTATAATAAAGATCGCAATCTTTTCTTATATATATAGTACTGATACATATGCGAAAAATTTACAGAAAATTTTAACACGAATGATGTGGCCTGAATCTTAACTTTCTCCTAACTTTTAAATGCATAAAGCCCAAAAATTTTAACTATCTAGATCCAAACCTTCAAAACCTAAACCCCAAAATGTAAGGTGTAAATGTGTACAATTATGATCATTCCCTGTTAAAATTTTTTATAAATTTTTCCTGCATAAATCATTATCCATATATAATGTGTGTTTCGAAAATAATAACATTCATGCATTCAACTTTAGAAATCCTGCAATCTTCATAGCAAATAGTGTTCAGTACGAAATTTTATTAAAAAAGTCACATTCAAAACTGTTAGCTTCCTAGCAAATACTTTGTGCATATGTTTGCTATCTAAATTGCAAACATGCACAAAGTACACCGAAATTTCACAATCTATATATTAATCTAATTCTCTCCAAGGCAAAAAAGAAACTGTAATAGTACGTATTTATTTGTACCATAACGTGATAATAATTTATAAAAATCTATGAGTAGATTACAAATAGTTCTAAATTATACGTATATGTAAATCCAGTACATATAGAATACAATATTCTAATTTTATCGGATGTCCCCGAAAGGACAACAAGGCTTATGTTGAATAAGGTCTATTAAATCTAAAATTTTTACATTTGTAAAATGTCCGTATCTTTGTTAGGTGTTTGTTTCATTGACCAAAGCAGTAGGCATGGAAGCTTAACTTTTATCATGGGTTGAATTGGACAAAATAATATTTTCACATATCAAAATAATAACATCAATAGTATCACAAAATAATTTTGTTTCTTTAGCCTATCTGTCCCAATCAAAATAAAGAATCTTCAATAAACTTGAATCAATAAATAAATAACGAAAAAATATAGGAAGGGGGACATCTTGATAATTGGGTCAAATCAGGCATTAGATACATAATTCCTCTAAATCAAATTCTATATAGTAATCAAACTAAGCAAAGAAATTGGGTTCATGCACCTTGTATTCGGGAATGCAAAAACGATGATTCCACAGTGATGGAATGGTGGACATCCCACTTCGTCTTAGCGGGGGCCTTTTTCTTCTTGTTCTTGTTCTTGGTAATGATCATCTTTCAAGAGAGGGAATAATGATGAAATGAACTAACCGTGGGTATTTAGTTTAAAAATCTTCACGTATGTATATATTTATAGTATAGGTATAATATAATAACATTCATATCTTTCTAAATATGTAATCATAATTGGTTTGGAAATCATGAACTCTTTCTTAATTATTTGACTTTTAATAGACTGGATGTATGGGATATAATTTTAGGGTGTTATGATGTATGATTTGGAGTGACTTGAGTTAGATCATCACGTACTCCTTATGTTTCAAAATTATTGTATAGTTTGGATTTTTATTTTTAGTTCAAATTGAATTAAAAGTGAAAGTACAAACTATACAATAATTTCGACACGGAGGGAATAGTAGTTAGTTAGTTGTAGTCATTTCACTCCTTTTCCATAACACTACAAGAAAAATGGTATTTTAGGACGCCAGAAAACGTCCCAATAAACCACTTTTCGGGACACGCAGCAATTTAAGACGCTTGCAAATTCGTCCAGTAGGTAGCCCTCCCGAAACGTATTTAGGACGCATAAAACCGTCCGGTCCCTTTAAGCGTCCCATTAAGTGTTATTCGAATTCATCAGTCAACTATCATTTTGGGACGGTTTTAAGTGACTTAATATGAAATTTCCTAATAAGCCGTTTAATTGTGTCCTGTTGATTTTAATTTTTAAGACAATGAAAAGTGTCTCGATACGGTGATCTGATGAAACATTTTTAAACGTCCCGAAAAGTAGTCTAATGGGATGCTTTTATGCGTCCCAATAGAAGCTCACATAATTAAAAAAAAAATGATATTAGAAAGAAATCTAATTTATTAATAATTGATCTTTCAATAATATACAGGAAGGATCATCACAAGTTCAAAGCTGTCAAAAAACACTATAAAACTTCAAACATTTCAAGTTACAAAGTAAATAAAAATATACATAGAATGAAGGTCAATATTGTTAATGTCAAAGATCTAATACACAAAACAAGCAAATTTTAACCAACTACAAAGTCTGTGATCTTCATAACTTCCGCAGGTTCATGAAAATGAGCTGTCAGCAGAGTCCTCATCAAAAGGTTTACAGAGTCACTATGTCATCAAGAATAAAGAAAACAGATCCAGAAAAAGTTCCCAGCGTCACAAAATCATCAAGGTTTACAGCAACAAAAGAATAAGGGTACCTCTCGATTGCCAACACTTCAAGTGAATAAAAGTTTAACTTACTCATCAATAACAGCCACCTACAGTTCAAACAACTAGTAGTTATTAAAGATCCAAATGTACATGAATACATGAAAAAAAGATACTAGTCATTAAAGATCCAAATGTATATGAACACATGGAAAAACAGAGATAAACTTAATAAACAGAACACTAAGATGACTGCCTATCAAAAATAAACACTAAGATCGTCTTTAAGCCGTAAAGAAATAAACTCTACTGACCTTACTATAATTTATAAACGCCCATGTAAATTTAACAGTTTCACTCAATGTGCTCACAACAAAGGATTAAACTCGCACAAATTTCAATGAACTACAAACTTTGATGAACACCTTAGTTCATTAGACAATTCCCACACTAAGTATTTTAGATAAAAACACACCATGCAAAAGCAACATAAAAATTCACCAAAAGCTTGAGATACAAAAATTCATGCATGACAGAATCACAAACATGAAGACATTGTTGCATGCTAAGGTCTACCTCAGGGATGTAATTTTAACACCACGTTCACATGTAATAATAACTATATACAACTTAATCAGCAATGGCAGTAATGATCATTGTTGCAGCCTTTGAGCACTTATACCTTGATGGACAAAGAACGATGCAAGTAAAATTTT